CGACAAAAACTACAGCCCCTTTTTTATAAACTGAAAACAAATCATTTTAAAATTTATTTACTAAAAATGACTGAAAAAATATTTTACACACTTTTTAAATCTCACCATTATAAATATAAACATATTTTAGTATTGCTAATAGTTTTTTAAACTTTCCTCGCAAAATTGAGAATTTATTTGATTAATGATTGAGAAAATCAACATTAATAAATGGCCTATACACGGATATTTTGAATTTAATTACGGAGTTGACGTAACGTAAAATAACAAATTACTATCAGTTCAAAGGCTTTTCCTATGCGCTTAGATTTACAATTAGAAACAAGGTGTGCAGATTTCTCTGTTTAATTAATCTCTGTAAAAATTATGAATATATAAATTTATTCGAGTGATTTATGTCATGATCTTTATATAGAGATAAGGAAAAGCTTACATCGCGATAAACTTAAAATATTTTATTTATATCGAATAATTCACCAGAATCCCGATTATTGTTTGAATTAAAATTTAGCTGCATTTACTATAAATTTATTTGTGACTGATTCAAATTTCGCAATTGGAAAAAAAAATTATTACGGAATAGTTTTGTTTAGTTATCTATTGCGTTTAAAAGAAAAATCAAATAAAATTAATAAAATTTTTTTTACAAATGACGGGAAAAATTTTTCAATAAAATATTTGGAGATAAAAACAAACCGATTAAAATATAAGGTGCGAGCTGTGATCCTATTTTTAATCAGTTATCTCTTTATATTAAATCTTAAGCTATGTCATAATGCTTCGAATGTATCGTTGCTGTTTCAGGTGTTCAACATTACTTTACATTTTGTTTTGCAGCAAAAAAAAAAATAAATAAATAAAATAAATAAAAAATAAATAAATAAATACCTGACTTAGAAATTTGAAATTACGAAGTTGTATAGAAAAATGTATAGTGAGTATGATGGAATAAAAAAACTTAATGTTCGATGATTTAATTTGATAATTTTTAAATGTTACAATTGTAGTAAGAAATAAATTGCGGGGAGCTATGCAGCTCGCAGGAATGCAACTAAGAAGTTAAAATTTGATATGCTAAAAGGAGCATTTATATTTATAAACCTAAACAGAGTTTCTTTTTTTTTTGGAAATATTATTCTGTTCGAAAGATATTGCAATTTTGCGTCATTTTTTTGCAAATTTTCTTCCATTATTTTTTGCTTTAAATAATGATTTTGTATTGTTGTAGAAAGAGTTGTTACCAAATAATGAAGTTTTTAAAAATATAAACGTAATTAAAAATGATTTCCCATTTAAATTGATATACTGACCAAAGGCCAGCGTAACATATAATTAACCACAAAATTTGCTTCTCTTTTATTTTTTGATTGTAATAATTTTTATTTTGATTCTAATAAGTTAATTTTTGTTTTTTTAAAAGAAACGGTTGATTATATTTCATATCCAGGTGATTATTTATTTCGTTACGATTTACGATCAACAAAATGTTCTAACACAAAATTACACTGATTATATTGTTTATTTACAGAATGAACATCGTTTTTTTTTCTTCAAAATATCTACTTAATTTTAACAAAAGTGATAAATGTGAAGAAATTACGGGGGATGATGATCGAATCGTGCAGAGGTGAAACAACTTAGTATATCAAAAATTATTACCAATTTTAATCATATTGAAGGTTTAGAGAATTTGAATATATTTAAATTTCTGTGAGATGTGTTTTCAGACATGAAACATTAATTAATCATTTCTAAAAAATAAAAAAAAAACAAAATCTTTTTAAAAATTTGTTTCTATAAAAATGATTCAAAGTTTGAAAAGGTTTGACTTTAGTACCTTATTTAAGATTAAAATGTTGAATTTTTTTGTCTTTCATTTTACATTCAGACTTGGTACATGCGTGGAAAAATTTTATAGTTTTGAATATTTTTTTTATAGAAAATTCTAGTTTCAAAGTTCAATTACTTACTGGATCAGAGTTTTTTCATCTCAGAGTATTTCGTTACTGTTTAATCACAGTTCATAGCTTTTCTCAAAGTGTCAAATAATTAAAAAATTAAATAAAATAAAATAAATGAATAAATAAATAAATAAAAAGATAAAAACAAATTCTAAGCAGGAAATGAACAATGTAATGAACAATGAGCAGGAAATGAACAATTTCTCAAAAAAATGCATTTAAAGGTGTTTTTTGAATGAAATTATTCATTTTCCTTTCGCCAAAATAAAAAAAAAAAGTCCCAGCTTAGGTTATTAAAAGAATAAATTATAATTTAATGCTATCTATACTATGTTGTCGCAATTAATTTTAGCTTTAACTGTGCTTTTAATGCACACAAATAGATTAACTATACAAAAATTATTAAATTTGAAAAAAACGAAACAAAAAACAAACAATCAGTAATTTGGCGAGATTTTTTTGTTTATTTGTATGAAAAACATCAAAATGAATAATTTTATTCCATTTACCACATTTTTTAATTGTGGCGACAGGGATTGTGCAGTCCCTTTAGAGAAGTCTCTTCTCTCTCTATTTGACATTTTAGGTTAAATTTTTTGATATTCGTTTTCTCGGTGTTTATTTTAGCTCTAAACAAACTTTTGATGATAGAATTTCGATAGTACTACAATTTTTTCAAAAAATAAAGTGGAAAATAGCAAGGTCACTTAATCAAAGAAGAAAAAGTTTTTGAAAATCGAATGGGTTGTTTTTCTAAAAACTATACCAAAGTAAATTTTAATATATAACTTTGAATGAAAAAAAAAAGATTAAAAATTGCTTGAATATGTGCACCATAGCAGAAAAAATCAAATTGAAAATCAATTCGTTTTTTTCTTTATCTTTTAACAGAAAACTATGCCTAACTTTAAATATGAATAAAAGCTAACGATTTATATTTTTTGGGAAAAACGCGTTAATATATGCACCATAGCAAAGAGAACGTTTTTTTTCCGTCAGAAATTTATTAAAACAAATTATTGTGGCTAACTTTAATTGTAAATAAAAATCAATTACTCAAGGAATTTGGTAAGAAAAAAAAAACGCTTTAAAGCACTTTAGTGAGAAAAGCAAAAAAAATTTTTTTTTGGAAATTGTTACAGTAGTTTTTTAGAAAATGGCATTAAAATATTATAAAAATTGTCTTAAGCGTGAATTAAAGAAAAAGAGATTTTCTTAATATATATATATATATAGGATTTACATGGGATAGAACACTCAACGTGTCTAAAACTTCGGAGACTCTAGTTTAGGTAAAATAAATCTGAGTGAAAATTAAAAAAAAAAAAATGCTTTCAGAAATAAACTTCAAAATTTACTTTATTTTTCCATGTTTATCAAATTATGTTCAGAAAAATGATGTTGCGAATTCTTAGAAAGTTGAGACAGAGGTCATTTACAAATTCTTTTATAAGTTCGTCATTTCTATTTTAGATTTTTCCTTAAGTTTTCATGTTTCTCAACAGACTTTAACTAATCGCTTAACTTAACCTGACCTTACATCATGGAATCATAATTACCCAATTTATTTAATAAATGCAATATAAATACGAAATACAAGTTTTTATTCATAAGCAATACGTTATTATGCGTAAAGAAATATAATTGAGTATATAATTGAGAGTAATTAAGAATATCGTTGAATATAAAACTTTATGAAAAAAATATGGTCAAAATGACCAGAATATGGAAACATTTACCACTTTTTGACTTCATGGAACACCAAAAAAAAAGCTAGATAGTTTTTACCGAAGTGCTTTGGGAAGGTCTTTGGTAAAATTAACCATAAAATATGATTTTATAATATGTGATAAAATTTGGTTAGCGTAGTAAAATCTGGTAATTTCATAATGATATCTTACATCAAGACATAAAAACCTTTTATTCGATTGAATTGACTTTTCAGTTTTGTGTTCTTTACTTCAGGTAAAAAGAACTATAATTTTGAAAACCAGAATATCTGGTAAAGCGTTGCCATAGAAACGAAAAAACTATAAAATGAATGGTTCAAATATCGTATATTTTGGTTTTTTAAACCAGGATAATGATTTTTAATTTTTACCAGAAATGTCATTACTATACTGTTCGGTAATTTTACTAGAATCTTTTTCTCTGCGTTTTAGTTTAAGAGCAATATGAACGTATCAACGAAATATTTACTTTTTTTAACACTTGAATTATCATAATTATTTTTTAAATTTTTTAGTTCTTAAAAAATAGGTGGTAAAGAGATTTTTCCTTTATTGTTTTAGACAATTTTCCTTTTGTAGTTTTTAGGAAGAGGTGTTATTAATTGAAATTTTAATTGGACGAAATGGTCATACGCAAACTTAGTCAATAGCTATCATTAATAAGTAAATGTATACTAAAATATTATGGACTAAATTTTTGGTTAATCAAAATTCATTGCAAATCTTGGATTATATTCCAAAATCATGCATAATCATAAGCCAATGTAATATGGCCTTTAAATTAGATGAATAGTTCATAAAAAACCTTAAGCTCTATAAATATTTAAAATTATTTTATGAAAAATAATGTAACAAGTTAACTTTTTCAAATAAAAAAAATTCTCAGAAAAGCTAATTATTAAGATAAGAGAAATGAAAATGTGCATTGAAAAAAATAGTCAAATTAAGTTAATTTTATTTTTATAAAAACAAACACATATATTTAATCATTTCAAAACTTATTTACGAAATGTTTGCTTAAAATTGACAATGTATATGTTTCAATAAAATTAACATTTAACAAAGTGAAAATAAAATAGAAAAAAATAAAAATAAAAAATTGTGTTAAAATTAATTCATTGGCGAACGAAATAATTGCAAATGGTAATGAAAAATTAACTTTTTATTAAAATGTATTCAATGGCAGACGAAATAAATGCAAATGAATATAAAGAAAATAAAAAAAAAAAAAGAAAAATCAGACGATTTATTCAATTATTTCAAAGTGAGCTACGCATGCGCATTGGTAATCAGTGGACACAACGGCTAACGTCATGAAAATCAGGTGGGGGAATACCTGAAGGATTATCAAAGACATCATTACTCGTGACTGAAGTATAGCTACCGGATTGGATCGAAAGATTTAGTTTCTGTTTTCATCATGTTTCTGAGACGGTATGTTAAAACTTTTTTTAAATGGGATAAAATAATTTTATAGTCATTACAAATTGTTTTTAAGTTAATAATTTTTTCTCTTCTTTTTCTCAACGATAAAAAAGGATTAAATCTTTGCAAATAATGAAAAGATTTAATCATTTTTTTTTATCGTTTTCAATATGTTTCGTTTTGTATAAATAGTATCGTTTGGTTTTCGAAAACTATCAAGGAAAAAAAATATAATTGAATAAATGAAACATAAATTTATTTTAACTGTAAAAATTGTCAATTAAAAAAATTAAAACAAAGATGAACACACGTTTTACTATAATAAAATATATTATACTTACATGGCAAAACAATAAAATAATTATTTTATACAAATTATACAATCATAATAAATTTTATAACACATATAGAAAAATTTATTTTTATCCAATAATTATTGGTCAACAACATTTTAGGAATTTCGATATTTTTATTGGATTCATATAAATTAATATAATGAAGCTTTTTTTTGAATTATTGTCTTTGCATTATTGAAACTTACTTAATGAAAATATTAAAAACAGTAATAGGATGCATCGCGTAGTAATGCTACTACAATTAATAATTATAAAATTTCACAAGATTAAATTAAAATGCAACCTTCACTTTTTCCTAAGAATTATTTTTTCTCAATTATTATTATTACTATTTTGAGATGATGAAAATAAAAACTTTTAATGATAGCTTTGCCAGGAAATCAGAAGATTTACATCGGAAATAGCTGTTGGCTTTTGTTGTTTACTTCAATTTATTTTTCTTTGTAAAAGTAGCGGAAATTCTAATATAACCGATTTGCTTATCGTACTTATATTTTCCTGCACATTTTAGAAAAAAACTATCCTTTATATAGTTTTAAGCATTCTATGGGCTGGGAAGTAAATAAAATGATGTCTTATTATATATATTTTCAATTACTCTGATCAAAGGAACTTATTTCACTTTTATTATTTTCATAATTGGATATTTTAGACGATACATTATAAATTCGAGTGATGATTTTTAAAGAGGTTCGAATAAGGAAGAATATATTTCGTATGAAGAATCTTTTAATTAATATTATACTTGTATTTTCATTGAGGTGTGTGTGTGGGGGGGTTACAATATAAGATTTTTATAGTATATAGTAAGGTAGCCTAAATCGTACTACTTTTCACATTTAAATTTTTATCAATCACACACTACTGACAATTGTATTTGAAATATTTCAGTAATAAAATAAAATAATATGCTCGTATGTGTGTGTTAAATGAGTGGTGGTTGACTTCACCGGTGAATGTTGAGAATCACATAGTCGCTATGGTAAATGTTCGAAATATAATGCTAGGTCTAGTTAAGGACCACTGCTCGGTATATATTTGCCCGGTATGCGCTACATCCATGTTTTTTTAAGGTCAAGTGCCACTCCCCAGAGACATAATTTGTTATGGAAACATGAAGGATTTTGTGACCCGACAGATTTAACGTGCACCAGTCACCATTTACTACATGGGAAGTCTTCGGCTGGCTGGATTCGAACTCCCGTTCTCGCGAACGTTGAGTCCAGCATCTTGCCAACCAGGATGTCCCAACATGCAAAACTGATTAATTAAAATAAAAACTTAATGCAAGTACATAGTGATTCGTTTCTCCTGCATGAATCAACACTTGAAAAAAGCTTCCTAATTTATCCACAAGAGCGTTCTGTATTTATTGCTTCATTAGAAATTGTTAGCACGATAAAATAGCCCATATAAAAATGAATAATTTTTTTTTCTTCAGAATTTTGAATAGAATTTTTATTTTATAATTTCAAATAATTCACAATACAATATTTTTGTTTGAAATATACTGTATTATAAAACTGAAAAATTATGAAGCAAACATTAGTTTGAGCTTGGATAAATTTAATGCATTGATTATTCAATCGGTTTAAATTATATATATTTTGGGACTGACAATTATCATTATTTAGCTTTTTCATAAGCTGATTGGGAATAAAAATGATAAAATTTGGTTCACCCCCCTATTCTCTCCCGTATGCTTACATATTTTTTTCAACTTTCCTTTCTCAGTTGCAAATGTCAATCATTTAATAAATGAAATGCGGAAAATCGATCGTGATGATTTTAAAAGTTTTTCAAGTTGCACTTCTCAATCGAAAGAGAAATATTCATGATATGTCAAAAGTTTATTTAGAAATGCTCAATAATGAAACGCGTGTAATATGAGCGGGGTTCGGTCTCTCGACTACATCAGTCATTTATTCAAAACAGCTTTCGATTATTTTTTCAGAATACTTTGTTTACGCAAATTGGCAATCGTGGACTTTGTTCATTGATGGTAAATTTTTAAAGTAACTTTTGGTGTTCATGAAGTTATTTTATTAAGTTACTTTAGTCTACAGCAGGTGTCTCCAAAGTGGTCCACATGGACCCCTGGTGGTTAATTCCATTTAGGGGGTCGATAAATGAATACCGGTGCTGTTTTGTTGCAAGGATTGTGATCTTTTATGTGATATAATATATGAAGGGGTAGAAAATAAATATTTTAGAGAGGAAAAAAACAACTAATATAACGAATCATTAGTAACGTAACGAATTACTATTGAGGAAAGTGAGATGGGAGACAGTAAACCTGTTATGTTGTCGGAAGAAGAAGCAGAGAGGAGTTTGAAAGCTACTTTTAATGACATCTCTGAGTTGGAGCAGACCATCAAACTGGTTTCGATGCTTTCTATCCCCCCTTCCTGACTAATTGTTAGACACATTTTGATGACGTTTTGTTTCTTCCTCGCGTTAATAAGAGTTTGCGATCCATGCTATTTGTTCTTTTTTAACTTCATTTTCGTCTTGAATGAATGTCTTGAACCATACATAAAAGGTAGTCAAAACAGAACACCCAATATTTTTTTTAATGTTTTTTTTTTGTCAATAAAAATTTTACAATCGGCTTGGATTAAATTAATACGCGCCGACGTCTGCAAAACTCCCAGTCTGCATTTTGGTTCGAATTCAGGCCCGTCAATCTCACTTTCAGAAAAACGTGCTAAAATTCAAACAATTTTATTGTCAAATAGAAAAACAAAAGATCTTTTAAGAGAAGGAGTTGTTAAAATCTCGAATCATCCAGAGGCTATTTCACATTAGATATCAGTCGATATGGTTTAAGATTTAATTCGCTCTCATCAAAAGCTCATCAGAAACCTAATCTATAATGAATCACCGCTTAAAGCAGTAAATTTAAATAAGTCAATGGACCACTCGCCTTTTTCATTTGTCATGACGTCATCGTGACATAGGCAACTGCAAATGAGACTTGATAGATAATAAAATATCAACCTAACAGCAAATGTATTCGACTCAATAATGGTGGGAAAGGATTATGTTACATAGATTTTAATATGGGTAATGATATCATCTTTCAAGTTGGGACCGCTATTTAGGTTTTCGTAATAAAATGTTTTAAAATAAGAAAACAAAATCCCGGGAACGTGTGTGGATTTTCGATGTTGAAAGAAGTGACGAAAAACAATAGCCCGCCTTTTTTAGTTTCGGTCTTGCAAAAATAAAATGATTTTCTCCTTTATAGTCCATTTGAAAAACTTAGTTCGTTGTCTTTCAAAACAATTTTGATTTGTTACTTTCTGCTCTTTAGTTAAGTTTTACTTTACATTGAAAAGAGGGCGAAATTTCGATTGACAATAAAATGGTGCTAAGTTTTGTTTGCATCACTTAGAACAGCGGATCCCAAACAGTGTTCCGCGAATTGTAAGGGCTCCGAGAAAGAGTTTAAATAGTTCCGTGAATTAGTACTTTTTATAACCAGCAATGTGTTTTGAAACCTCCAATTATATTTAGATATTGTCGGCCATTAAGGTAAAGGGTGGGCGCTTCTTCTTCTTGTCTAGTGGCGCCACCTAGGGCCAAGAATTCGACTTCTAACACACAAACGTCACACCCGTTTATAAAGCGGGTCCATTCATACAACCACAGATCGTAATTTTGACCTGAACCAGAGAACGAGCCATCTCCAATCCAGTACCCCCAGAGATTTAATTTGTTACAGGAACATGGAGGGATTTGTGACCCGAAGATTTAGCATGCACCAATCGCTAAACGGGAAGTCTTAGGCCGGCTGGATTCGAATTCCCGTTCTCAAAAACTTGAGTCCAGCGCCCTACCAACCAGGCTATCTCGGCTCATTATATTTAGATCTGACCAACGATTCATAATTTATTTAATCTTTTGGTTGCATATATGAATCAAATAAAATGCTAATGAAATGTATAATATTTCCTATCACACTTTTCAAATAAAAAAAACTTGACTCTTTAATAAAGAAATATGTTTTTCTAATATCCATTTTCAACATGTATAGCAGTTCTTTAAAGTTCTCATTTTGATGTAAACCATAATTCAGCTTATTTTATTCATATATTATATTATTTTCTGCTTATATGTATACACCAAAAATAAATTCATAACTAGATTGGATGTGGCACAAGTACTGCAAATTAAACTGCAAATTAAAATGGATAATTGTTTTTATTACTAGATTAGATTTACAATTGAGGGCCAGAACGGTCTTTTTTCCCAAAAATGACGGTTGGATCACCATCTGTTTCATTTTGAGGCGATCTAAATTTTGACAAATCAAAAAAGTGTAAAATTGGTTCTCCCCGAGAGTTATTACACTTTGAAGATGGGCCATGCTGGGGAAAAAACGGTTCTTGACCATGCGTAGGCAAAGCGAACAAGATAACATCAATGTTTCACGAGTGTGCATTCGCGTTTGAAAGTGTGACCAAAGTGATTAATTATTTTTCATAATGAGTAGTTTAAATATTAGTTATACGTGATTTTAAATACGTAATTTCTATTAAAGCCCATTTGCAACCACTGGGTCATTTTCATTGCGTCCATTGGCGGACCTACGAAGATTCCTACCCATCAAATTCGAAAAATTAGTTGCGTTAGAACCGTATTTCTTTT